AAAATACATAGAAATAAATCTAGCCTAAAAGGTAAATTATCTGTATGCTGAAAACTATAGAAAGCTTATGAACAAAACTGAAGAAGACACAAAGAAATGGAAAAATCTTCCATACTCATTGATTGGAAGAACAAATATTATTAAAATGTTGATGCTACCCAATACTACCCAATGCAGTCTACACATTCAATGCAATCTCAATTAAAATAGCACCAGAATTCTTCACAGAGCTATAAAAAACAATCCTAAAATTTATTTGGAACTATAACCGACCCTGAATAGTGAAAGTAATATTGAAAAAGAAAACCAAAGCTGGAGACATCACAGGCCTGGACTTTAGCCTGTACCCCAAAGCTGTAATCATCAAAACAGTATGGTATTGGCACAAAAACAGACACATAGTCCAGCGGAATAGAATAGAGAACCCAGAAATAGACCCACAAATGTATGACCAACTAATCTTTGACAAAGCAGAAAAGAGTATCCAATGGAAAAAAAGTCTCTTTAGCAAATGGCGCTGGGAAAACTGGACAGCAACATGCAGAAGAATGAAACTGGACCACTTTCTTACACCATACACAAAAATAAACTCAAAATGGATGAAAGACCTAAATGTAAGACAGGGAGCCATCAAAATCCTAGAGGAGAAAGCAGGCAAAAACCTCTTTGACCTCGGCCACAGCAATTTCTTACTTGACATGTCTCTGAAAGCAAGGGAAATAAAAGCAAAAATGAACTACTGGGACCTTATCAAGATAAAAATACTTCTGCACAGCAAAGTAAGCAATCAACAAAACTAAAAGGCAACCAACAGAATGGGATAAGCTATTTGCAAATGACATATCAGATAAAGGGTTAGGATCCAAAATCTATAAAGAACTTATCAAACTCCACACCTAAAAAACAAATAATCTCTTAAAGAAACAGGCAGAAGACATGAACAGATACTTTTCCAAAGAAGACATCCAGATGGCCAACAGACACATGAAAAGATGCTCAACATCACTTATCACTGGGGAAATACAAATCAAAACCACATTGAGATACCACCTCACACCAGTAGGAGTGACTAAAATTAGTAACTGAGGAAACAATGGATGTTGGTGAGGATGTGGAGAAAGGGGAACCCTTTTGCAATGTTGATGGGAATTAAAATTGGAGCAGACACCCTGGACAACAGTGTGGAGAAATTTTCCTCAGTAATTAAAAATAGAATTACCCTATGACCTAGTAATAGCACTACTAGAAATTTATCCAAAGGTTACAGAAGCGCTGATTTGTAGGGGCCCGTGTACCCCACTGTTTATAGCAGCACTATGAACAATAGTCAAATTATGGAAAGAGCCCAAATGTCCATCAACTGATGAATGGATAAAGAAGATGTGGTTTATATATTCAATGGAATACCACTTTGCAATGAAAAAGAATGAAATCATGCCATTTGCGGCAACACGCATGGAACTGGAAGGTATTATGCCGAGTGAAGTAAGTCAGTCACAAAAAGAGAAATATATGTTTTCACTCATATGTGGAATTTGAAAAACTTAACAGAAGACCACAGGGGAAGGGAAGGCAAAATAAGTTACAAACAGAGAGGGAGGCAAAACATAAGAGACTCTGAAATATAGAGAACAAACTGAAAGTTGATGGGGATTGGGGGCTGGGGGTGCGGGGAAAATGGGTGATGGGCACCGAGGAGGGCATTTGTTGGGATGAGCAATGGGTGTTGTACGTAAGTGATGAATCACTGGAATCTACTCCTGAAGCCAAGAAGACTACGTAGTATATGAGCTAACTTGACAATAAATTATTAAAAAAAAAAAGTGCAAGCTGAAGCAGCAAATGCTAATGTTGAAGCTTCAGTAAGTTATCCAAGAGATCTAGCTAAGATAATGCATGAAAGTGACTACACTAAAGAATAGATTTTTAACATGACAAAACTGTCTTATATTGGAAGAAGATGTCATTTAGGACTTTCTGATATTCTCCCTTTTTTGTATTCTGTACATTTGTGTTTTTCACCATAGTTTTCCAGGTTGAGTAAGTAGAGAATCAATGAGTAAATTGAATTCTGTTGTATTCTCCTAATCTGCCTACTTACTTTCTGGGGAGTCAAGTATAGGGGAAGCACATATTTCTTCCTCTTTTTTTTAATTTTCTTTTTATTTCTTTAAACATCCTCAACACATTTATTTTTATACCCTATGTTTCATAATTCTAATATATGAGATTCTGAATCTTATTCTCTCTAAGAATAACAGACAGCAGCTAATGAAAATAATATTATCTGACTTTATGGTTCCTTGATTCTTCCTGCGTTTTGTAATTTTGAAATGTGAGCTCATAATTGTGTGGCTTTGAGTCTGAAAACTGGTTTGAATACAAAAACCTGGTGAAGTACCATGATTTTCCATTATGGCAAATAACCTGAGTCTTTACTCACTGCTATGGACTGAATGTGTCCTCCAAAACTCCTATGTCAAAACCCAATCTCCAATGGGATGCCATTTGGAGACGGAGGCTTTGAGAAGTAACTTTGTCATGAGGATGGAGCTCTCAGATTAGTACCTTTATAAGAAGAGACCCAAGAGAGCCTGCTTTTTCTTTTTCTCTCTCTCTCTGCCACTACGTGTGTGAATACAGTGAGAAGACAGCTATCTACAAGCCAGGAAGTGGGTTTTCACTGGACACCATGCCTGCTAGCGCTTTATATTAGACTTCTACCTTCTAGAACTGTGAGATAAAGTGTTTGTTATTTAAACAACTCTACTTTTTGTTGTAGGAGGCAACACTGATGTAAGACACTCATTTATCCTTCATCTGGTCATATAGGCCAAACCATACCGTCTTTGGCTTCCCTTTTATTTTACCCCTAAGAACATTAAGATTTATTTAGCTTTTGCCACAAATTCTTCAGGTCAGAGCCTCTTGGTTGTCATTATGGCCGTGATACTGTTTATGATTATCTATATTGTCCCTGACTACTAAGTGCTATCAACTTGTCTTGGCATTACAGAATCCTATCACCCTCTCTGTGGCCTGCACCACTTTCCCACAGATGATGGGAACCTCTGTAAATAGTGTGCATGGATGTCAGCAGTCACTTGATTCTGCTGGATTGGGAGAAACACTTCCCCAAAACACTTCAGGCCACTTCTCTCTTGTAAATAAATAAGAGGGTTTCAGAATTCTGTCTGGTTTTGTGGGATGGAGAGAAGATACAGAATCCTAAGACTTCCACCTCAAGAATGAGCCTGGGGAATGGAGAAGGTGCTTTCTTAGGAAAGAACTGAGAGACATCCCAGAATCTCTAGCTTGGTTGACAGGTGGATATCTTTTTCTGAAGAAGCCAGTCAGTAAAGACTGGGGGAGGTGATAGCTTCTTCAAGTGTGAAGACACTAGTAATGCAAAACTTTCAAAAAAATC